AGTCATTCCTTGAACAGCTCCCAGGCATCTCAAACTCAAAATATTCAAAATAGAATTATTTTCTTCTGCCTTTCTTTTTAAACCTTCTCCCCCTTCTATATTCACTATCTCAGTAAGTGGTGTTGCCCACATGTAGTTGTGAGCCAGAAGCCTTAGAGCTATCCTAGACTCCTCTCATTCATTCACATCCAATCCAGTACCTGCCTCTGCCTACTTCTCTACTCTCGTTTCATACCATGCCCCTCCATTGCCCTGCACTCTGGCCACAACTGACTTCCATACTTTCATATATGTTTCTCCTTCTCTTATTATGTCTCACGTCTCCCAGCCTTCCTCACTCTACTCCAGGCCCAATGTTTATAACCTTCCTCACTCAACTCCAGGCCCAAGTATTGTCTTCCTTCAGGGTTCCTCCCTTGGTGCCCAGTGCATACAGACCTTTATCACATTAATAATTAGCTTACTTATCCATCTCCAACACTAGGCTCTGAGGTCGTAAGGGCAGAGACAATGGCTGAATGCATCCTGGTGTCTAAAAAGTACCTGCCACATAGTAGGTGTTTAATACATGTTTGATAAACAAATGGATTTTAATAACTCAAGATGTCAGTCTTAAGTATATTATTTTAATTTATGATGAAAAAGTACAGATTATTATTATAAAAATATAGAGGTTCACAGTAAGTAATCTTACTGTGAACTTACCATTGGCCCATGGTAAGTAATCAATATATGAGGAGTCTTCAAAAATATGGAAAATGTGTTTTATGAAAAAAACTCAGCATGGATTTCAGAATTCTGGGGCATTAAAATAATACTACACTAACTTGTTAGAATATGTCTGAACAATATCTAGTTTGAGGCACTAAAAAGGATAAGACATCTTTTTAAAAAGAGCCCCTACAGAGTAACACAAATTCTGCTAAAATTGAAGCAAAAACAAACATCAAATTTATGGTGAAGCTTTAGTGGAAGAATGGCAGCATCGCTGATGCTTTACAAAAAGTTTGTGGGGACAATGCCCTAAAGAAATCAGCAGTTTACAAATGGATAACTCATTTTAAGAAAGGACAAGATGATGTTGACAATGAAGTTCACAGCAGTGACCATCCACATCAATTTGTGAGGAAAAACTTCATCTCATTTTGCCCTAATTGAAGAGGACCACTGATTAACAGCACAAACAATGGCTAACCATAGACATCTTAATCGGTTCAGCTTATACAATTCTGTCTGAAAAATTAAAGTTGAGCAAACTTTCCACTCAATGGATGCCAAAACCATTGTGCCCAGATCAGCTGCAAACAAGGCAGAGCTTTCAATGGAAATTTTAAACAAGTGGAATCAAGATCCTGAAGGATTTCTTCAACGAATTGTAATGAGAGATGAAACACGGCTTTACAAATATAATCCTGAAGACAAAACACAATCAAAACAATGGCTACCAAGAGGTGTAAGTGGTCCAGTCAAAGCAAAAGCAGACCGGTCAAGAGGAAAGGTCATGGCAACAGTTATCTGAAATGCTCAAGGCATTTTACTTGTTAACTTTCTGGAGGGCCAAAGCATGATAACATCTGCTTATTATGAAAGTGTTTGAGAAAGCTAGCCAACGCTGTAGCAGAAAAGTGCTGAGAAAGCTTCACCAGAAAGTACTTCTCTGCAACAATGCTCCTGCTCATTCCTCTCAGTAAACAAGGACAATTTTGTGAGTTTTGATGGAAAATCACTAGGCACCCAACTTACAGTTCTGATTTGGCTCCTTCTGACTTTTTTGTGTTTCCTAATCTTAAAAAGTCTTTAAAAGGCACCCACTTTTCTTCAGTTAACAATGTAAAAAAGACTGCATTGACATGGTTAAATTCCCAGGACCCTCAGTTCTTTCAGGATGGACTAAACAACTGGCATCATCACTTATAAGTGTCTTAAATATGATGGAGCTTAAGTTAAAAAGTAGAGTTGGTATTTTTATTTGTATCTTTTAGTTCCATTTCTCCATGAACTTTTTGAAGTCCTCTCATATGTGTTTTGCTGAATGAATAAGTAAATAAATGGTGAGGAAACAACCTTAACAATAGTAAGGACATATTAAAACAGCATGAAATCAAGCAATGTGGGTCATTACAAAAGCACTGGAACTCACAAGTAGTGGTGTGAGTGTGGCAAATGGCAGGAAATGAGGCAAGAAGGAGTAATGAGGAGAGAGATAAGGGATCTTGAATGAGGGCTCTGCTTTCCAGGTAGTGGGTACCTCAATATAGCATGAAGTCAGCAGAGCAATTAATCAGATATGTGGTTTAGAAGGATCCCTCTGTCAGAAGAATGGCAGGAGTTGAATGGGTGATGATTGAAGGAGAAGATTGGACTTTGGAATACCACATAAAAGCCAACTTTAGTAGCTTGTGGGTCTAAAGTATGAAGGTCTAGCTGGGTTAAAATTGGAGACATTTCGGAAATCAACATGAATCTTCCCAGAAAATGGTAGCTGACTTTCTCCCAAAGTCTTGAACTATGAATAGACAAGATTCCCAGAGTCCCAACACTGTCATTGTAGACACTGTATGTCTTAGCTTAAGAGTTGCCCTTTCTTCTAGTATCATTAGCTTGTGAGGTTTCATGGGCATCAAAAACCCATACAGACACATGTGGCACTACACTTTTTCTTAAGTTACAGATGTTCCTGAAAAAGCTCCAGAAAGACAGCAAAGAGCACTGGCTACTTGCCCATTATTTTCCTGGTCCAGAAATCAAGGGTTGCACAATGGGAAAAACTGGGGTCACTTCAGGCAACCACCTGCATTTGTAAAACCCAAGGATCCCTCTTCTTTCCCTTTTTGCTCTAGGCTGGGTAAAAGGAAGCCTAGTTCTTGGGGTGCTTAACTGAGTATGATCCAGTGAAAACTGGTTTGGACATCAGAAGGTCCAGGGCATCAGAGAGAGTGTTTTCAGATGTCTCAGAACAATATGTCAAAGGGATTCAGCTTGTGGTTAAGGCAGTGCTGCTAAACCTTCCTATTGGACTGACATGATTATTTGTCCTGGCTGGGCCATGGGTCACAAGCTCATGACTTCCAGAAGCCTTTCATGAAGTGAGACTAGATTTCCTATAGAGCTATCAAAGAATAAGCCTTGTTTGCATGTATGGCACACTTAAAATTTTTTTAGTTGATAGATAATATTTGAATGTATTTATGGGGCACTTGTGATATTTTAACACATGCATAGAATGTATAATGATCAAGTCAGGGTATTTAGTACATCTATCACCTCAAGCATTTATCCTTTCTTTGTGTTAGAGACTTTCAAATCTTCTCTTCTGGCTATTTTAAAATACACACTTTCAAAAGTAGTTTTGGGTGGGGGACTGGCAAATCTCTAGAAACCCTGCCACCCAGAATTCACATCTGCCTTTTCAGTAGTGATCCTGGAATGAGAAAAGGATATTTGTGTTAAGTGCATTTTTAGAAAGAATGTGAACATTTGAATTACTTAATTGTTTTAGATAAAAGCAGTAATAACTTGAGACGTTCTAATGTTCATTCTTTTGTTGTTGTTGTTCCAGTGTTCTCCCAGCTTTCCTTGTGTAAAGCCAAGGAGTCCATGGAGGAATCACCATATTGGAGACACCTGTCCTGGTGCTGTCCACCAAGTCCCGGAACCAGAACATGAAGCCTCATGATCCAGGACACTCAACGAGGGACATTGGGAAAGCATCTTTACTATTTACACTCCATTGACAAAGAAACTGTGGTTAAGGACCTGACCAAACTTGCAGTTGATGAGTGGTCCAGCTGAGACTTGAGGTCATGCCCCAGACTCCAGAGCAATCCCCACTCGTTGGTGAATAATCTGTTTTTTAACTTGTCATTTGCCAAGTTGACACATCATGCTACATACGGAGTAGCTGGTAAATGCACACTCCATGGTTAGTCTACCTGCATTCAGATCCAGTTCTACCACCTACAGGTTTACCTCTCTTTAACATTTCCTTACCTTAGGATGACAACAAATATCAAATTTTAAAAATCACACAAACTTGGCTATTCTGGAGAAGGAAATGCTCCCTCTGTCTTCCCTGCTGCTTTTCCATTTGCCTGAGACCCTTTTTTCCATGCTTTTCTGTCTAGCTCCATCTTTGGATTTCAGTTTGGACCTATTTACCTCAGAGAAGCTTCTTTTGGCCTACCATGGTTGAGTTGGGATTCCCTCTTCTGTGTTCCTATGGCATCATTTCCCCATTCAGCAATTGCCACCCTGCTTTTTGTTTCCGTGTCTATCTCCCTAACCAAACTGTGAGCTAAGATTCCGACTTTGCTGGGTTTTTTCACCCCAAGCATCTGAGAGTAGTGCATAGTAGGTGCTCAAATATTTGTGGAATGAACAACAACAACAAAAAAGATAGATAGATGAGTGAATGGACAGATAGCGAGAAGAGAAGAAGGTCAGTAGACAAAGAGTCAAGGATATTCTCCATGGGACTCCTGAATTCGGACCGGACAGTAGGGAAACTGGGGAGGTAGAGGGGCGTGGAGGATGGGATGAGATGGTGGCTCTGGACCTTAATCTCAGGGTCTCCATTCCCACGGAAAAGAGAGGAGTTCCTACCACCCAAAGACTCTCTCTGGCTCCCTTGCTAGACCCTGTCTTCTGCCAGAAGACCCCAGAATACAGGCAAAGCCGCCAAAGAGCAACAGTTCTAACAGTAGGAGCAGCGCTACTGCCTTCCGTGCCCCTCGGATCTGCACTCTCTGCCTATCTTCCCGGCGCAGAGAAGGCGCGTACCATGAACGCCTCAACTTCCCCCTTTTTTTTTTCTCCCACGGTCGGGAGTTTCAAGAGGGGAGAAGCCGGTGGAGCAGTAACAGCCCTCGTAATCTCTCCAGTCCCGCTTCGTCACCTCCCTAAGGCTGCGCCCCCCTCCCTGGGGACGTGCGCTGGGCCCGGGGCCGCCGGGGCGGGGAAGGGTCGGGCCCGGGGCGGGGAGAAGCGTTTATATGTTGGCGAGGGAAGTGGGAGCTGCCACCCGATTGCCTGCGGGACACCGGAGTCAAGAGGCTTCCCACGCCGCTGCCCGTCCCTTCCACGGTTCCGAGGTCTCCACGGTCTCCCTGCGCGCGGCAGACGGCACCAAACGTTGCGCTCCTGGCGGTGCGCTCAGCCCGCGCGGTGCGCGCCCAGAGGAAGTCCGCCCGGGGCTTGGGAAGTGCAGGGCTGGGGGCTGCATGGAAGTTTCCCCAAGGTAAGTCCAGGAGCCGACGCTGGGACAGCAAGAGCCAAAACTAGGTTTATAAGTGATCAGTAGTTGGATGGGAGTGACCGGCCAGAATAGAGGAGGCTGCATGAGAAAGACTGCCGTGGAAGGAAATAAGTGAATTTCAGAAGCTCAAAATCTCCTCCTTTGTCTTGTCTCTTCCTCCAAACAAGAGTAGCTGCCCTCACCTCGTCTTTCTTTTAGATTTTCCGCATCCGACTGTTGAAGAACCTGCAACACACTCTTGTCATTCTCTGCTCCCACCTCTGCGTCTCCCACCGCACACCAGGGCGCCTCCTGAGAGGTGCCTCACCCAACACTGTGTCCTTACTGCACAGGGCCTGGCGACTGGCATGTACAGTGGATCACTCGCGGAAACAAATGAATGGAGTTAATCAGGGTGAGTCAGGAAAAGTCACTCCCAAGCCTGTACATTCCCAGGCTGTACTTTTGTTCTTGCACTTAACCCAAATTTATTAAAGAAAGTTGGGTTTTTATTGCTGAATGAGGGGAGGAAGGAAAGCAGAGAAAATGCACCCTTTTCTCAATTCCCAGAAACATTCTGCTCTGAGTGGAACCCCAGCTACCTGACTCAATATCAACTGTGCAAAGAATTTTGAAGAGGAGAGGAGGCAGGCTGGAAGAGGAAAAAAAAATATTAAAACTAGGAAGTGATTTTCTTTTCTTTTTTTTGGTCCTTTTGTGACAAGGATTTATCATTCCTCTTGTTAAAAGTCTACTCTATGGATGTATTTAAAGAGGACCTTTGTCAGTGGATGGCTGTGGGAGTGATAGGAGAGAGGGGTGGTGATGGTGATAAGGAATATCTGAGACAGTAAAACTCGTAACACTTGTGACAGGAAGGATATCAGAAGTCTTCTGTTAAGAATTCTGTAGTTACAGAATTCAGCAGTAATGTTACTTTTTCTAAACTAATCTATTTAATGAGTAGTATTTTAATATAAAATGCTCAATGTTAAATTTATTGTTCAGTGTCTTCATAGAGGAAGTCACTTACATGAAAATCCTGAAACTTCTAAATAATGTTCTTTAAAATACACAGCCTTAATAGTTCTTTTCTTTATAAAAGAAGTTGTCAATTAATTTCTCCTTATTTATTTATTTTGAAAGGGAGTTTTTCTCTTGTTGCCCAGGCTGCAGCGCAATGGCGCCCTCCCGGCTCATTGCAACCTCCGCCTCCCCAGTTCAAACGATTCTCCTGCCTCAGCCTCCCAAGTAGCTGGGATTACAGGCATGCGCCACCACGCCTGGCTAATTTTGTATTTTTAGTAGAGACGGGGTTTCTCCATGTTGGTCAGGCTGGTCTCGAACTCCTGACCTCAGGTGATCCGCCCACCTCAGCCTACCAAAGTGCTGTGATTACAGCAATTTCTCCCTCATTTTATTCCAAAATATTAGAAATGCAGAGGAGAAAAAAAGAAGGAGAAAAAATTAAAAATACCGTGCCTCAAAAGAAGGTGTGTTTTGGATGTTGTGCCATGTGAAATCAAATTGTATAATGTTCACTAAAGATGTCAGGTTAAGCATTCATGGGAGAATCATCTTTGGGCTTTTATATTTTAGGAATTTTAAAAATTTAATTTTGCTGAATTTTTTGTGAACCGATTCTCCGGAAATACTATTAAGTATAAAATACTTGCAATTTTCAGTCTTTCCATTCCCTTCAGATAGTCTGAATTTTAGAAAGTTTCAGTATTTTGAATATTTTGCAGAAAATACTTATTTGTATAGACAGTACTAAGAGCATCTAATTAAGTCACTAAATGAAGATCAGGTTGTAAAAATTATGAATAAAAATTGGTGCGTTATTTATTAATCTCCATACTTAGTACACTATAATGTCCCACTAATATAATGGTCTTAAAAATGACTAAAAAGAACTTCTCTGTCAGTAAATATCCCCTGACCCTGGAATTTCTTAGAAATATGGGTTTGTGAGCCAGGCCCCCTGCAAATATATAAAAGTGATCTAAACTAATGATTATGTGTTGTAATCTAAGAACGCTCGTTCCTACAGTCCTAAGAAGTAAGTAGGAAGATTAGATTTTCTATGCTTCTTATGCTTCTAAAAGAATCATGAATATGACTTTTCCAGGGTGATTGTTGGCCAAAATTGTTTTTTTTTTTTCCTTTGCTGACCTTATTGTCGTTAAAGAAGGAAGTGGATTAGCTTTGCTCTCCAACAGGTCTAGATTCAAGTTACAGACAAACTCAAACAATGCAGTTACCTGAGTCTTATTCTTGTCACGTGTCACATGGGGCAGTGATATCTACCTACCTCACAGGGGTGTATGGGAAAAAAACAAGATCTTTGTAAAATGCCAAGCACAGGTGCTCAATAAATGAGGACAATGGTGATGGCGATGGTGGTGGTAAAGCCATCATCATCATTAGCTCAAGCAAATAGACTTTTTTCTAATAATTTAGTTAATATCGAGCCCAATTTTATCCTGTGTTCTGACCTCACTCAAATACTTGGTTTCCATGGAGTGTAATACATGATTAATAGAAACGAATGATCCACCAAACACTGTAATCTCCCTGGAAGTGTTCCAGTTTGTAGAGATCATGGAGCTCATTTAGGGCCTGTCACTCAGGCATGCTGCTATCCTGGAAGAGATGTTTGGGGGTTGCGGCTGTTCTGCTTTTACTACAAATTTCTTCCTATTTTAGGCTTTAGCGTTGGAGGAGACCTTTCCCTGAGAGTCAAATTACGCCTGCAGGTAGGAGGCTTTTAAAAGTGCACTCAATGTTTTAATTTCTTTAGCTAATGCTTTTGTGGTAATAAAAATGACTTTCTACTTTCAGCAGAAGAGTATTATATTTAGATTTTCTGAATTTTAAAGCAGTTACCAAAAGCAACGCTAAGTTTTTCAAAGGAATTTAAAAGGCATAAGTGATCCTTTAGAAAACAGTGACTGACTAAAGGCCGAACTTTCTAAATGAAAAAATAATCGAGTCTTAGTCTCACTTCCTCTTCTGTTTCCGCGTCCTCCCTCCAAAACTGGTTTTTTCTTGAGGTGACCCCAAGGCCTTGGCATGGAAATTTAGAGGAAATTACCACATAAAAATAGATACCATTAGCTAACATAAGTCATATGCAGAAGAAGAGATCTTTTGTGTCTCTTGTATCCCGAATGCTTCCTACAATACCTGGCACTTAGTAGGTATTCAGTAATATTTGGTAAGTGAAGGACTTAAAATTTCAAAATTCTGGCTAAATTATGCTTCTCATGTGAAGCTGGAGCAGTTGCACTTAGAAAATCCAATAACATGCAAAATCTCGGGGAAAATCCCTAACATGAAAAATCTCAGGACAAGATAAAGGAGGCAGTATCAGCTTTGTGTCACTACTTCTGAAGTTCAGTCTTACTAAAACAAAAAACACCTGGTCTATCATTACTGACTCTAAATCTTATCTTTATGAGCTGTTTTGATTGACTGACATAACCCTAAAAACTAATACATTTAACAGTCCCAAAGAACAAGTCTAAGGAGATGTACTCATTTAATTTTGGAATGATGAGAAAATTTTTCCCCAAATGCTCAACTGGTAGAGAGGAGAGAAGACTAGAATATACAAACCAACTTAGTCTTGCAAACGTAAACCTCAATATTCTCCTTAAGTCCCAAAGGCACAAATAAATATACATGTAACCATTTTAAAACCGTTTACAGTTAAGGACGTGAACATTGATTCGACTCTGAAATATTTTTGTATTGCTGTAAGTACTGTATCCTACACTTTAGAGGGGAAAGATTTTGCCAGAGTTAGTTGGCAAAGGCATTTGTGTTGGCTTGAAAAACCATAAGCTAATCACTTATTTAGTCCGTTAAAAACAACTTGATTAATGTTTGGTAAGAAATTCTGACTAAAATTCTCCATTATATGCATCCAAATACAATAGAACTTTGAAGATCATAAGCAAGTCACAGTCATATTTGGCTATTACTGTTTGTTATGAAAAAAATCCCACAATATGTCAAATGGTCTGTGTACCATATTTTTGTACCCCTACCTCATCCTAAGCCAGCATGTATAGTTAACTTTATAATCTCATTTACTTTCACATTTTCTCTGGGACAGCTAGATACTTTAATGTGAAGAAGATGACGTTATACACTATAGTAGATTCCCTCTATGTCCAGGCTTTTCTCCTCTCTGCTGGCTACGGATAGTGTGAGGGCCCTGCCCATATTTTCCCACTGCGTTCATTCTTTCAGTGCATGCTGGAGGCTTCTTACTTCAAGCACTATGACTCTGTCTGAGGGCTTTATCGGGCCTTGGGAACCTGCCTGACCCATGTAGGGTAGGCCAGAAGGGTCTGGGAGTAAACACCCCTGGAGCAATACCTTACCCAATAACATATGAAAGCTGGTGAGTAAATAACCCACTTTCTCACATCTTATGTGAGGCAACTTTTGAGATATGAACCATACATCACTCCAGAGGTACCCAATGGAACTGAGCTCCAGCTGCCCATAGTGGTAACCTACCTGCTCATTAACATTGACTTTTTTCCCTTCTCTGTCTCACGTCTTCACTCCTTTACCAGGAATCACCTCCCAAATAAACTAATTGTATGAATTCTTGTCCAGGGTCTGCTTTTGGGAGAACCCAGTCTACCATAAACTTTTTGGCTATTTCAGTAAATGCCGTATAGGTTACACTGCAGTAAACTAAGTATAGCTTATACTTAGCCAAGTGGACTATAGCTGCCATTCTAGCCAAAAAGTAAATCATGAATGGAATTCTTGCTTTCCACAGTGGAGAACAGAATTTTGTCTGTAGCTAATACTGTTTCATTGGTGTCTTGGTGTCTTGTTTCATTTATGTCTTATTGGTCATAACTGGATTCTATATTCTCATCACCTTTTTGGAAACTGTCATATAACTGGATCCTATATTCTCATCACCTTTTTGGAAACTGTCATGGGATGTGGAGGGAGATATCAGTGAAGATTTGGTGTGACTCCAGAACAATGAGGCCTTGGTGTGATCTCATAATTAGAGAAATAGCACAAAGAACACATTCTGCTCATGTTATGGAAAGAGGTTCTGGAAAGTGGTTCAAACACATGCTCAGTGAAGATAAGGCTGGACCCTTTATTTTCCTGCTGGGTGTTCCTATCCCCGCCACAGGTTGGGTCACTGTTTATTTATCAGTGATTTTCTAATCCATACCACCATGCCAGACCTCTCCTGAGAACTCCAGTCCAGATATCTGACTGCCCACAAGGCACTTGAAAATTTATTTGCACCACAAATCCAACAAATCCCAAATGGTACTCTTTATCTTCCCCCAAACTCTCCCTTCTTCCTGTGAATGGCGCAACCCAGTGGCCCCATCAGAAAACTTTGAAATAGCCTTAAGGATC